TTGATCTGCTCCTCAGTTGGCGTCCGATACCCTCATTTAGCGCTGAAGTTAGAGTCCCTCAGGTTGATCGCCTGGGGGATGTCTAAAATGACTAAGGATCATGATCAGAGAATGTGGGATATCATCCGGGCCCGTCCGTCCGTGCTTGCTGATGATGATGATGTTGTTGTTCCTGATAGGTACTTCGTGCTTTATAACATGATCAAGGCTAGAGTCTACGAGGCTGTTGCCAATCAGCGGCTTAGAGAGCGTATCGAGTTATCAAATGCGCGACGGCAGGCTCGGAAGAAGAGGTTGAAGGAGCCGAAGGAGGCAGACCGGGTACCAGCGGACGCAATGTTGGCCAAAACTGATGTAAACTTCTGCCATGTGAGGAACCGACGATTTGAGTATCTCCTGTGTAGGTTTCTCCTAATGATCTGTCAGCAATACTAGCGGCTTATGCCCGATCTAAGATGAACATACATGGTAAGACTATATCGTGGGGTCAGTACGTAGGAATTCGTTATCCGTCATCTCGTTATGGTAGCATTCATGGAGGAGAACAATTGGGCACACGTGCCTGTGCAAGTAGAAATCCTGATAGCAGTGAATGACGATGTAACATACAATGTGAAATCCAGCGAATATTCGCTCTCTTGGTGGAGAAGGAGTTGCATGTTCCGCGACGTGACTTTAAAGTTCCGTTTCAGCGGATAATTTTCATTATTCCGTCGAAAACCGAAGTGTATATTGCAGTGGAGGGAAAATATGCACATGGTCAACTACACGTGTTGGCGACAATGAGGAAATTTTGAGAGGATTTTTTGGAAATTCTCCAAATTCATGTGTAACCTCTTATAACTAGTGAGAGAACCTCTGAGCTTGGTTGAGGAAAGCGAACATATATTCCAACACTGAGATGCTGATCAGGTATCTCTCAATATTTCTCTAATAGAATCTACCATATGGTAGAGCGGACATCTACCTATAATCTTGGTTCGATAATGGTTGCATTGGCCAAATTCGAACATAAGGATAAGAGACTTGTTGACAAGATCTTGAAAGAGGTATCCAGGAGGCTCCAAAACGGTTGAGATGAGATTCTTATAGGTTAGAGCCAGAGTAGCACAATGCAGTTGTAGCACGTTGTCTGTAATGGCCATGTCCCTTGGGATGATGAAAGTATACAACAGGTAAGCCGCATGAACTGATGGGAATGAGGATTCATGGGATAGGTCTTTTATGAGGGCAGCTACTAAGCAGGCGACGTTGCAGTTGGCTAATTTCAATGAAACAGATCTAACTAACTGGTTTCTGTGCATCGGTAGGTTTATGCAACCGACGAGGCTTTAATTTTTCTGGTAGAAGGAGTTGTCTTGTGCCAGGTTCACTGAATTATCGAGATGAGATTTTTGCACGGCGCCTGGCGCAGACGGCGGCTCATCGTTTGCATGCCAACCTTTCTGTGAGTGGCGTCACGATGTGCATTGTGAATTACCAAAAGTTGAGGTAGGAGTGGTAGCAGCTTCGCTCCGCTGCTCTAACTCCCATTTCAGGATCCACGACCCAACCTGGTTTGATGCGGCCTACAGGATGGTCTTCGAGAAGCAGCACCAGATAGTCGAACCAAAGCTGGCTCCCGCCCTCCTCTATGGCATTGCTGTGACCGACATAGGCAAGAGCAACCCCTGGCAAGAGGCCGCTGTGCACGCCCTTCTGGGAGTAGCCAATCGACTCAGGTCAGTCCTGACTATGGCTTTTCAGTGTAGTCTTTCTACTGTCGATAATCAGGAAGGAGATGATCTTCTCGTCGGTCATCCAACTTCAAATATTCGATCTATGGGCTCGGTTATTGGCCCCTAAGTCTATTATGGAGAAAATGGAGAGGGAAGTAAGTTAGGGATCCACGAAAAGATAAGAACAATTATCGCTTCGCTCCGCCAGCATCAAGATCTCCTCGCCCGAGCTCGTGCCTATAACACTGCCACGGAGGATGTGATGGGTCAAACTTCCCAGTTGCATAGGCAGGTGTCGAAGTTCTTCACGATGGTTGGCTTGCGACATCGAAACGAAGTCGTCGTAGGGCCTTATTCTATTGATGTGAGCGGCTTAGGTCGAGGACTTGAGCAAGCAGTTATCTCTGTTAAGATTCTGGTAGGGGAGTCCTTCGCGTTTGAAGTCGATGGACCACATCACTTCTACCGTGACACTAGCATGAGGACTGCATCAAGCCTGTTGAAACATCGCATCCTTGAAGCACTGGGATTCACTGTTATCCGGGTGCCCTATCAAGAATGGTCTCAATGTGGTAGGAAAACGCTCGGAGATTGCCAGCCGACTGGAAGTCATTTGCCTGACAGGCACACGGGAGAAAAGACTGCGCTATGTGGGGTCTTTCTGGAAGCAGCTGATCGACGCCAAGGTGGTCTCTGAGGACATGAGCAAGGATGTCGCACTTGGTGATGTTCTCGAAGTTGCGGTAAGTGCCGGGAGGATCATCTGGGAATTGATATCCAATCCTTATAGATTGCCGACAGTCAGAGCATTGAGTCAGCCCATGATGTGATCCAGCGACTCGCACGACAGTTGAGTGAGAACGACACTCGTCGACCCTTCGCCGAGGCAGCCCTTCCAGCCGACGTCGACTTGCGCCTTGGTGATCCTATGGAGATTGTCAGGAGCAACGGAGCTGTGCTGTCGTCAGGCGACGATTTACTGCCTCCTGTCGAACCTGCGGACAACGAGCCGCTTTTCTATAAGGTCTCAGAGGACTCCGATTTCGAAGAGCGTATGAGAATCCGAAATGAAGCGGAGAAGGCGCGGCTCAGGGTCATGAAGGACTTCGGTGACGCTGAAGATTTGATGGAGGCTCAGCGTAGGTTGCGAAGACAACAGCAATCGTGGTGTCGCCACCTCGTCTCTGTCAGGGGCTAAGGGAATCAGGGGCAGTCGGGAAATCAACTATACTGCGGCTGAGGTTCGGGAGGATGCTCAGAAGGAGTTGTTCGACAGGCACAAGAGGGTGAGATACACCCGGGGTTTGCTACCTTTGGGGATTCGATTTCGTATTTAGGGCAGTCCCAGAAGACTTCGCGACCATGAAGGTTTTGCGTACACACTGGAGGACGACGACGAGGAAACTGACACTGAAAACCCAGAGGATGAGTCGACCGACATTCAGTGAATTTAACTGCATCGATCCTGCATGTGTGTTTCGGATCTCACAGTTTCACCCAGGGAAGGTGTTTATTGTGTTCATAGCTATCTCCAATAGATATCGGCCCGGCGCAACCGAAAGCCAAGTGGCCACACTTAGTAACATTGCTGCACTAGTATCCAACGATTTGCATGTCTACAGGAGAGTGAACGGAACGTCTTGCCGTCACTGTTCAACTGACAGCCTTCAAGTACTGCTAACCCACCGTCGGAGGCCTGCTCGAGTACACCATCACATCGAAGCATGAGGAGCCGGTCCAATACCATCACAGAATGAGAATGCCTGTTATGCGCTCCTAACGTTGGGCATCGGGCTGAGCGTCGTGAATATATAGGATCTAGCATGGCGAGTTCGACCAGATTTTCCTTCAATGCCGGTGGAACGTCGGGTTCAGCTGCATGAATTCCTCTCGAGAGGACACGGCAAGGAGAAGGGATAACAACGCTGACGGCAGCCATCAGCAGGATAGAGTAGGCCATGGTCTGAGGAGGGCTCACTCGAAGGTATGTCGAGGTCACTGAGACTTGCCTTTGGTGATGACTATTTAACGACCACTGTTTGAACGTAATCACAACTAAGAGTGAGAAATGGCTGAGAGAAGGTTTGACCAAATCCCTCGAAGGAGAACTCTAGATTGGCTCGGACAAGGGAAAGTAACAGGGTCCATACAGATGGGTGAAGGCTCATGAAGACTGGCATTGTATATAGATGCTATATTGGCTTCGGGCACCCGACAGCCTATAGCGACAAGTACGGACAACAAGTGCTGCTTGCAGATCCAGCACACCTAGCATGGTGATATGATAATCGGGATTATGAAGGGAAAACAGGTTCTGAATTTGTGATGCACCGGGAATCCGAAAGAAATGCATACTTGAAGATAGGGCTGTGCCGAGAATTGAACTCGGGACCTCTCGCACCCTAAGCGAGAATCATACCACTAGACCACACAGCCGATGATGCCCAACGCCACGAATTGAGATGTAGGCATTAATATATTCACATAAAGCAGCTAACATTATTCCTAGTGGATGTGGGGGATGAACAGGAAGTAACAACACAAAAGAATGAATGGGAACTCGGTTAGACACACACTTACACCTCGAGACGACTGAATCGGGACTGAATTAACCTTACTGAGGAAACGCACCAAGCCTATGATACTCGCATCACTCTCAACTAAGACTGAGAGCACTGAACCTATCAAGTGTCCAATAACATGCAACTGATGTGAGGATGAAGACATCCGAACGAATAGGGTTGTGTCGAATACCTAGCCTCCCATGACCGACGCGTCCAGCAGCATCCAGGCAGAGTATCCATGAATCGAAAAGGACTACCCCCAGTCTTCGACTCCTCAACTAACTACAATTACCACAAAAGGTCTCCCACCAGCTATCGCCAAAGCAGCGCTTAATACCTATTTCGAGTTTATGGTGCCATTGGCCAGTACTATGTCGTTCTCACCATACTTCCGCAACATCAGCTTGAGACGCCGACCTTTGCTATGAGTAACAAATCTCTCAACGTTCTGCTCAGCCTCCAAAAGCTGTTCCTTATCAGGAGCATCAGGAACCTCACTGGCTGCGTCTCCAAGGCCTCCGATTTCTAGCGGCCCCTACCCCTCGTAGTACTCATCGAACGGCTGACACTTCATTTTAATTTCCCCTGTACAGTTCTTGCCCCTCCGTATCACCCTTTACCTAGTTTCGACTACCTCCCTCGACGTCGTGGCTCCCCAAGGCCAACCGTCCAACGCCAAATCTGTCAAGATACTTGATCAAAAACTGTAGAAACCTCGCCCATTTCCCCAGCGAGGTTAGAGGCATCGTAACACACTTTAGTAGTAATAGCTGATGGCAAAATGACGAATCGGCCGAGGAACACAACAGTGTAGCGTCATCAACATCATAGGTGCAACAACATCAATCTGAGTATACTGCCACTCATGAACGACGACTAACAACAAAATAACACGAAGCGTTAGTATCTGCCAACACCTTGACGATATATCAGACTCTCGTGTACTCACCCAAACTGGGTGTAAGCACCCCCATAAACTCCAGGGCCGGGACTAGGGTCTAAGGAGTAGGCATGTCCCCAGCTATAACTACGCACTACTACCTTTTTTCACTGACCTTCGTCGTTGGCGTATGGTAAACTGTGGTGCCGCCGAGCCGTAGCCTACATTAGACCACGTTGAAGGGTCGCCACATACAACGTTACTACTCGTCTTTGGTCCTATACAAGTCCCCACTTCGTAAGAACCAGGGCCTGGTCCCCGAGCTGAGTCAGCTCCCGAGCGGCGGGCAGAAGCGACCGATGACCCAATGGGAGGCCTACATGATAGAACTGACGATGCCGTGGAAAGACTGTAATCATACTACCTCCGGGAGGTCCCAAATCCCCAGCTTGGTGCAGCCTCATGACCAGATACCGTACAGGACGACACAGAGGAGTAACTGGCAGTCTAGTCATACCACAATGACATCAACCTAAGATGAGCCCTACTGCCCAGGGCCAGGTTCAGGCCACCGAGGGAATCGAGAATCATCCGGCTTGGACCCAGTAGAGTAACTATGAGCAATAATGATACCATTGTCCGTAGCTATCCAGTGAGAGTACCTTGGTCCCCCTAGAGAGCGCGTCACATTGTAAGACCCTGGCCCAGGGGAATCAGTTTTCTTATCAACGATGGAGGTCCTAGTAGCTCTACCAAACGCGTACCTATACGACTTGTGCTGACGGCCCAGGACTCCTTTTCAATACTGTGCGGCCGACGACCCTTCAGAATTCCTAGGAGTGTATGCCCCTGGTCCGGGTATGACAGTTTCAGCCTTTTTACGACTGAGCTGATCTCTAGAAGCGGTACCAAAGACGAACCGTGGTGATGTAAGGTATCTGACCAAGGCGGTCGTGGTCTCCTCAATGGGCTCCTCTGACCTGCCATCCGCGCCTGATGCTTTCTCGCTGGCATACGCCCCAGGGCCCGGGATCTTGTTGGACTCAGAGTTCACCAGGGAGGATGGGCCTCGGCCCTAAGCAATGAAATCGATGCACATGGTCAACTACATATGTTGATAACAATGTGAGAATTCTGAGAAAATTTCAGGAAACTCTCGTTGGCTTCGGTGACTCTTCACCCAAATCCATGCGTAAACTTCCAAAATCAGCTAGGAAACTCCTGAGCTCAGCTGAGGGAAGCGAACATATATTCCTCCAACACTGATGAATCCATTCGGTCCATCGCTGCGACAATCAATAAACCAATTCTGTAAAAGACCCCATACTACGTTCATGGACCACTTAGGGGCCTTGCGAATGGACGAGAGGCCAGTCAGCAACGGATACGACGGTGAAGGAGGCGACATTCAATTTAACGAGTAGCAAGTCTCCGTGCGAGACATTCGCATCTTGCTATTCTTACACCACCTTACAATTCCTCAACGTGTCTCCGTGACCACCGTCCGGTAGTGGAGACTGACGACCTCAACAAGACACTAATCGGAGGAGGAGGGAATAGTCTATATACGAGTAGAGGGGACCATGATGAGCATGATGACAGTCTTAGTGGACGCTACGACGAGTGCGACTGTAGTTACATGAATCTTATAAATAACGCATTCAACTTAGAAAAGAGCATATGCTGCTGTCTGAATCATACCACACTTATCTAACATCATACGGGCAATGGCCACAGTCAGTAGCACCACCAGACATCATTATAGCGATCGTATACGGTGTCGGGGGATAGGCTGTCCCTGAAGGGCCCTGTCTACAGTCCATTACACGGAGCATGCACTCCATTTCCTCGTCGGATGAGTACGGCCGGATACTGATGAGTTGTAGGTAGCGATTGATCTACCCAACAGGGCTTCCCGCACAGGGACATGTGGGGAGTCACCTCGGCAAGCGACAGTACACCATCACTATCATCTGATATATAGGAGATCCACGACGCCACTTCATCACACACCATCAAGCATTCACTAGTCGGTCTAAGACGGCGGAGTGATCAACGTAAAACTGCGGTACCTTACGCGTGGTTATATACGCTGCAAATGTCCCTGTAATACATGGCGGCGAATGCCAACGAATCAGCTCGGGGAGACGCACCGCAAATAATTTCATCTTTTATCGGAGACCTTCACAGGACAAAGTCGGTCACCAAAAAGACGGATAGCCGCCTCACTCAGAGTATTCAGAGTCTCCTGTTTTTCCCCGTTCATTTCTTCTGTTCTCCCAAGGAGCGTCACCACACAACGGGGATACGCCCCGATTAGCTAAGTCCCCAAGAGCCCCAGCGTAAACAGGATTCCTACATACCGGGTTGCCCATCAGGCGTACATGTTCTAGTCGATACAGGTTGAAAAACTCTCTCGGTAGATGCGTCAAGTTGTTCATCTCGAGAGCCAAGTGGCTGAGTCGATGGTTCGCCCGTAGGAACTCAGGATCCAAGCGCGTTAGAGAGTTGTAAGGAAGACTAAGTGACGTCAGTGACCGGAACGATTGATCGAATCGGGTTATGTTCTGATACGGTAGACTGAGCCCAGTGATGAAATGCATATTATCCGATATCCAGTCGACCTCGTCATCATCAACCTAATACGACTTGAAGCGTTTGCTCAACAAATGAGAAACTCGCCCACTGAACAATGCCAAAGTGCATTTGGCGTAGGGGAAATGACCACATATTCCACCCTGGGCCATTTATCCAGAACCTACCAGCAACATACGATGATGGAATGATGTCAATCTGATGGGAAAACGCTCAATTTGAGTATCATCGAAAACGCAAGTTACGCGCTGAAACTGTGTGGAAGAACCACGCATTCATCCTGTGTGACGAACCATCTACGTCGGGATATGAGTACTCCCGAGTGTTGGCGTTGAAACGGATAGTGATGACCTCTGGCAAAGCGACGCATTTAGATTCCCCCTTCTCTTCGTCCACTGTATGTGTACGGCCCACCACCAATCGACAGTCGCAAGTGTTCGGCTGAAGACAATACATATCACATCCAATGGGGAAGGTGTCGAGTACCCCTAGGAATGGACGGACAGACCACCGGCACCAAGCCATAGGGTCAAAGCCAGGCCCACATAAAGTGCCGAATTGGGTCACCACAGTATAAATGACCACGAGCAATCCCAAAGCCCAGCAGCTGGCAAGGACTGTGATAAACAACATAAGCCATGTAAACCTACTAGATGCCGGGAAACGACAGACCCTTGCTGACTTCGTCCCGACTTAGCTCGTTTAGACTTCCTCGAGAATCTGCCACCACCCATAGCATGATGCGTGTCATACCACGTGAACGCTTCGCCAGCACTTGTCAATTTGTCGATCTGACAGAGCTGAAGGGCGCCGCCCATCCCACGCGGCAATACGACCATACTTGATAGAAATTCGTCATCACTGCCGCCAGAGGCAGCATAGTCGATAGAAAAACCTGCATCGCTCCGCTCACGCTCGAGCGCCTCCTCGAAGAGCTTACTGTGAATCTATCATGACGTAGGGGGTACCATCTCGCCGGGCGGAAAAACGAGGCAAAATTGGAGAGCCCCAATACCCAATCGAGAGCATATCTGGACATCGGAGAAACGCCAGAAAGCTCTCTGACGTACCAGCGATCACCCGAAATCGATTGCAGTGTCAAAGACAATTGCCAACTTCACATTGGAGTGGTAGTACAGCAGTGGAGCTGATAGCAAGTCAATGGATAGCAGGAAGGCATGGCTCATCAACAGCCGAGACGAGGCCACCTACAATGATGGTCTTCATCAGCGAACTACATACGTATGCAATTTCGAGGAAATTTTGGGAAAGTGCTGTGGGCTACTGCACACCTCTAGCCGAATTTGTATATAAGCTCCTATAATTAGTGAAGGAAACGGACATATATTTCAACACTGTCCTTGATCATCACAAAGAAGGGCCAACAAGAGTTCACCTGAGTCCTTCCCCCGAGTGATAAGACGTCTACTCCTCCCAGCTCCAGCCAGGCCAAACTCTGTATTATAATATCAACCACTTGGCTCAGAATATACCTACATTGAAAACCAGCTCTGGCTGAGGACCCCTATAAGAATGTGGGCATGTGGTAGGTGAGGTTTCTGTTTAGCCAACGAGATGCCCCATACTCGAGCTGTCATACACTACGCGCCAATTAGAGACCGAAAATACGTGTGCAGATGTAGCTTTTTCTACAGAGCAATTTTCAAGCTGAAATTCTGAAAATGAGCCCACTTATATACTTATACATGTAGTAAACGCTAAACCAGCTAGTCAGCTGAGGGCTTCGGACCGGATCACGAGTGCGCCTCATCCACCATACCAGACGCTACGAACGTGTAGTCAGGGTTCGTTGATTACGAGGCTAGTCTAGACGCTCTCTCCTCCACGTGAAATCAGAATGCTTCCTTTCCCCGACCGACCTTTTCCAAAACCAAGAGCTGCGATAGTCGAGGTAGATCTTGGTAGTCCGTACGAGTGCACGAAAAGGCTGCACTATGCAATCCAATCTCATGTAAGTGCGACGAGATACGCTCGCTGGCTGTGGGGTGAATGAGAGCAGCGCCCTCGACACTGAGTGGACTGAAAAAATAAAGCAATGATGAGCACAGTGATGCGTCCCGACGAGATCGCGTGCAACAAACTGATGATGATGGTGAACTCTCTAGAACGCTCTATAAACTCCCCATACTGCGGTATCCATGAAAACCTGACCTCGCTGTAGCGGTAGGACGAACACTTGCTGAAAGATTCGAGTCAGCGCCCAAATGCAGAGCACAGAATAGACCACACAGTAACTGGGAAAATACCAAGGCAACTCCATATAAACTAGAGTCGTCACCTGAGACCAGAGGATGTGATTTCGACAAAGCCCTCGAGGCCATCGCTGAGAGCGTCCTGTGTGAGTTGGAAGTGTGATGGTACTCTGGACAAATACAATTCCCCCAAACCAGAGGCTCCCCTCTCTCACCTCGGACTGCCAGCAGCAACAAGCTGGGAGGCAGCATATATACCCGACAAAGCACAAGCCAGCATTTGCCCGACAACCATAAGCAGATGAACTGGCGGCCTGGTGACCAACGCCCCCAAGATCTTCGCTAGCTTTTCCTTCCAAGTGAGCTTGTGAGGTATCCTAGGGAAGCCTTTGGTGAGGTCAAAATGTACATCACCCAATGATAACGTTGGTGTGAGCGACTCCATCACTTCGGACTGCTCCCCAGACCTAACGACTACCCATATCAACAGCAACGATCACGAGTAGTCGCCACATCAAGGTGCTTGGTTGTGTCCCCAATTGGTGAGGAGTGTCCCCAAAGGGTGATGAGAGAGCCGCTGAGCTCATACTGCCTATAGCGGTCATTTTATGGTGATATTCGCCGATAGACGGTGCTCAGTAGCAAAACGATTGAAAATAGAGCTTACAACACAACAGACCAGGACCGTACTGTGAGACCAGCCATGCTATAATAATGTGGCCATTTTCTTCAAGCCATCAATGATGCGTGCTATGATCTAATTATCTCAAGATTTGGGCAAAAATCGTACCGGTCCAGCCGCCAGTCTACTGTGAAGAGCGGCAGAAGGTGTGGTAGTAGAGGACGACGAAGACGACGACGACGGAGGCTGATTCTCCATACCCATTGCTTGATGATGATGTCCTAATAACAGCGACCGAAAGTCCAAGACGGCCATCCCCTGCTAAGCTCACCAATTGCTGATATGTCCTCCAGATTGGGTCTCTTACTAGAGGCCCCTTGCCCTCCAGGTATTGTGAAACCCGATGCAAGTCTCTGTCCACTCTGGTACGGCGCCGGCTGACGCCCAACGACCAGCGAGGATGAAGAATTGTTGGCTAGCTGCATCGTACCACTCCCCTCGAAAACTACACCAACCACTATGGTACCACCCCGAACTCATACAGTCTTACCGTTGGTCCTATTAGCGAGCACCGTCCCCGCGCTACCAGCTCTCGTAGAGCTAGGCGAGTGGCTCCTACTACTAGTAGCCCCCGTTTGATGATGGCTAGATGCAGCAGCCCCTATAGCTGCTTGACTGGGTCGCTGCCTATGTGATGGTAGTACTGGCAGACTCAAGGCTGAGTAGCCAGCAGCACCAGCCGACGATGACGATGATGATGATGTCTCGACTCCGGACAACACCTGATCACTTTGCTTACCATCGACTTCATCGAACAGTAGCATCCGCTACTACTACTACTACTACTACTACTACTACTACTACTACTACTACTACTACTACTACTACTACTACTACTACTACTACTACTACTACTACTACTACTACTACTACCACTACTACTACCTTCACATCTCGGTCAGTAAGACGTTTGTTGAGATAGGAGATCACTTGTTCATTCGACTCTAGTAGTTTGTGCGCCTCCGCCAGTTTAGCCCTAGTCGAGTCACACTCCTCCTGAGCTCTATCCAACGCATCAAGAGCTCCTGAACGAGGTCACCGCTCCCACTGCCCAGACGGGAATACACAATACGTTTGTGCTCCAGCTTGGTGTCGTCATGAGACCTCTGCTCCTCCAGCAGACGGTGGTCCAACTCGTGAATCGTCTCCTCGTGAGTCTGCATATCCTGCAACAGGAGAAGGGTCGACCCTTTCAACAGTGACCGACCATCACCAAATATGAGAAGACTAGAACAATGCCTTCAACTGGACAAGTCTAATTGAAGAAGATTCGATTAGTCTACTTACTAAGCATCACAACGATGAGGAGAATACGATTCGAGAAAAGAGTGGTATGATGAACCGATTCCCGATCACCTGTTTTAGACCCTTCACTCTAGACTTATATGATTTGATCTGATCCTGCAGCTTCTTGATCACTTCATTGCCCTTTGTGGTCTCTTTGAAGCTAACACTCAGCTTCTCTTCTAGCTGAGTGAGACTACTCCGATACCTGCCATCCATATGGTCCCGGGTTCGAACCTCACAAGCCGCACATTTGTATCTGTTCTTCCAACGATGACTTCTGTTGGTTAGCCTGCTCCAGCAACTCTCTTGACTTATCTGCGATCAACCATCCCATTCACCTCGTGTACGTGGGCGTACGTACTCTATCACCACCTCATTATAGTCCAACAACAACTACTACTCAGCAACTATACGGATCAAAGTAGCGACTACACTCGTACCATACGGAGTAAATTTCAAGCTGTTGTAAAAAGCACATAAGAATTTTAGCAAAAATTTTCGTCCAGAGTTTGCTCCGACGACAATATAATAAGGTGAAAATTGGTGACACGCTGGTGACACGAAACGCACTCTTGAGATTGCGCATAGTGTATATATTCGCAACGATACAGACTATACAGTTGTATATATCCTCCTACTAGCAAGCTCCTCCTTTGCTACTAATTGCTCTTTGGAGAGGGCCAGAGACACCTCCGCCTCAGACAGTCGTTTTTCTAGTGCGTAACTAGTGAACAGCGATTCTTCCAAAAAAAGCCATAGCTAAGCTACTCCAGTACTTCTCTTTTTCGAGCCTTTTCACCTCAGCACTCGTAGATCCATACCGCTCCTTGTCCTCTTCCAACTCCTTCGAGGCAGCTTCAAGCTTCCGAGTCAAGCTGGCTAATGAGTTCTCAAGTACGACTATCTGAAAGAGAACTCCGGTTCGATCCCAGCAGCCGGCATTTCTATCCACCTTCTCATTAGCCTCTGTCGCTGCTTTCGTTGATGATTCTGCTGCCGCCTGAGCGGTCTCCAGCTGAGTCGACAACTCCTTCACTACATTGTCCCGCTCCGCCGTGAGTCTATTAGGAACGAATAAAGCCGATTCGAGTCGTCTGCGATGCGGATACGTGTGGTGATTGTCTCGAATCTCCCGAGCATGCCGTTCGCTGATCTCGGCTAACTCCCTCTCGTGAACAGCCTTGAGGCTCTGTTCGAGCTGACACCGCTCCGCCTGGAATGAATAAAAGTAATACCCCTATATAAGGCCACACAAGGTCTCGTACGCCGACAAGCACTACCTCCCTAACCACAGGTCAACAGGAAGCTCACTTCCCGCAAAAACACCCTACCGCTCACCTTCATCAGATTGATCTCGTCCGCTTGAGACTGTCGCTCTGTGGTCACTCGCCTGACGATGACGACCCTCATCACCACTACGAGTATACCCCAATTCGACCATCGACCCCACCTTAGTTCCTTCTCTGTGTTGCACAATGTCTCCTCGAGTCTCTCAGCAAGCTGCTGGAAGTGGCTCAGCTTGGAAGCTAGATAATGCTTTAACACTTCATCTGTGCCTGCATGACCACAATCTTTTCATGAGGATGAGCAACATAGACGTCATGTGCCTCTTCCAAAGAGTTCGACTTCATTAGAATTTCACCAGTAGAATTACCTTTCCGCATTCTTAAGCACAAGTGGGTGATCTCTCTGAACTGATTAGCCTCTATTATGCTCAGCGTGGACTCAACAGTCGATTCTCCCACTGCTAAGTAGACGGACATATTCTGACCTCCTGTCGGGGGGCTGCTCCCATTGTGGGCCTGATGGAGGGCAACAGCACTTCACCAGTAAGATGACATACCCCCCATTTTACGCATTCGGCGACGAGTTCAGTAATCATCTTAGGGAAGTTTTGGAAGTCGACAAGTAGCCTTTGTTCCGTCTTGAGAGTGTGGTAGTCGGTCTCAGCAAGGGACAGCGTGTACCTTCCATACCACACCTCGCCCAAATCGTGGTTCCCAGTACTACAGGAAGAACGGGTCCCGACTGTTCGTAATGGTTATCATGAGAGCACCGGGGATACCTCCTCTGCTCCCATTCCCCGAGTTGGAGGAGGCACTTGGTGACTGTAAGGATAGCTTCAACGTGAGGTTCGCGGAGTACCTAGACTTGCTTCTACCGAGGCTACCATATGATATTGTCGGACTTACTCTTCCCTATCGAGGGGCCTTATCCTCACTCTAACATCTCTAACGTAAAGTACTTGTTCGTTCTCGGACGAGTAGACAGGCCCTGATGAAGATGATGCTGCCATTCCTCCTCCACCAGCCATTATGAATGCCAGCCTTAAATAGGGAAGTGTTGCCGAGTTCATATTGCGCACAGTCAGTGCATCGCTCCGCTCAAATTTCGGCGCACGTTTGCCATATCGATCTTTTAAAATTGGTCCCAGCTTCGCAACGTTAGGGATAGCGGACTGACGGATTCATAATATGTTGAATACAAGCACCTTGAGTACCCATCCTGCATTGCGTTTGAGGTTCACATCAATCATGGGGGGATGCGTCACTCGCGACGAAATTGAGGGAGTTGTTGAAAGGCATCAGGTTGTCGTAGGAGTAGTTTAGCAACTGCCTTTGCCCTCGGCTGTATCGGTGGACTCATTTTCAGGGGTATTTTAATCTGTTGATATGAGTAGAAGAGATAGTAATATAAACAGCAACAACGACAACTCGGGAGTGGCCCCATGCCGCAACTGGACGTACTTGGGAAAGTGGTAGTACGGGAAGTGACCTACTTTGTATCTTGCCAAAGTCGACCTAGGATACTCTCCTCAGTGAGTTCGGGGATTCCTGTACCTACGCCCATCATTCTCCCAACCGATCTGCCACGGGTCGGTCGGCCCATCCCAGCGGCCATCAGAGCACCACCACCACCACTGCGCGCAAGCCGACGCCCTCCTCGGGAGCCTCCAGACGGAGGAAGAGCAGTGGTATCACATACTGTTATTGAATACCGTAACTTGCCGAATTCAGGTGGTAGTAGCACTGCTGGTAGTGGCTCGGCTACTGCTAGGCCTAAGACTGTTCTCACTAGGAAGAGAGAGGGCAAGGACGTAATCATAAACCAGAATCGATCAACGTCTCTTTGAATCTGTTTCCCCTCAGTCTGCCGCATCACCACCACCCGAATATGCCAAAGGGACTTTATCTCCACTCTCAC